TACTAGAGTGGTTTGCCATTTCCTTCTCTAGCTCACTTTACAAATGAATAAACTGAGGCATACAGGGTTAAGTGACTTGCCCACAGTCACACAGCTAGTAAGTGTCAGAGGTCAGATTTGAACTCAGGAAGACGAGTTTTCTTGACTCTAGGCGTGGCACTCTATCTATTGCACCAACTTAAACATCTCAAACTGGATGTTCTGCAGAAATTTTAAGCTTAGCATGTATAAAACTGAACTCCCCATCTTTCTTCTTAAACCCTTACCCCATTCAAAACTTCTGTATTATTGTCAATGGTATCACCATCTTTCCAGTTATCTAGGTTCATAACCTACATGTAATCCTCAATTCCTTACTCTTTCACCCCTATATCCAATCTTTTGCCAAAGCCTGTTTTACCTTCACGACGTATCTTACATAACCCTTTCTCTCCTCTGACATTTGCCACCACCTCGATGCAGGCCCTCCTAACCTCATGCCTGGACAATTTTAATAGCCTTCTGTATCTCTCTGCCACAAATCACTTCTCTCTTTTGGCCCACTGGTTATGATTTTTAGTTTTATCAAAGACGAGGCTACTGTGTCCATTTGCTTCTATATACTGTGTAATCTGTTCTACTAATCAACCAATTTCTTATCCAATGCCAAACTGTTTTGACCATTAGTACTTGTAGCATAGCTTGAGACCTGTTACAGTTAGGTCCCCTTCCTTCCCATCTTTCTTTTTTAATTCTTTTCAGATTCTTAACTTTTTGTCCCTCCAGATGAATTTTTTTTCCTCTTTACTTCTTTAGATCTGTGTGTAGTGTTTTGTACTTCTGTCCATATAATTCCTCTGTGTGTCTTGGCAGTTAGACTCCCAAGTATTTTATATGTTCTGTAGTTACTCTAAATGGAATTTCTCTACTTTCTGCTGGATTTTGTTGGTAACAAACAGACATGCTGATTTATGTGGGTTTATTTTATATACTGCAGATCTGTAGTTTTTCAGGTGATTCTCTAGGGTTCTCTAAGCGAATCATCATATCATCTATATAAAGCATTAATTTTGTTTCCCCATTGCTTATACTTAATCCCTCGATTTCTTCTTGTATTGCTATAGATAGATACCAAAGATCTCAATTGTCAACTATGATGGTCTTCTTTCAGTCCTCTTCCTTTTCAGCCTATTGGCTGCATTTGACCATTGCCTTCTCAATCTCATTTACTATTTTATCAGATCATACTCCTGAGGGTATTCAAAAGGCACTGCCCTAAGCCCCCTACTTTTTTCTTTTTACACTCAGTGACCTCATCAGCTCCCCTAAGTTTATCATTTCTATGCTAGTACATTAGTTCTCACCCTTTCTCATCCCACATAGCCAATCAGTTGCCAAATCTTGCCATTTCTACTTCAACATCACTCACACCTGATCCTTTCTACCCTCACAGCCACAACCTTAGTTCAGACCCTCACCACCCCCCTGCTATTACAATAACCTCCTAATTGGCTTTCCTAAGGTCTCCAGGCCATTTTCCATATTGCCGTCAAAATTATTTTACTTAAGCACAAATCTGATTGGGTGACTGCCTGACTAGAAACAAATATACTATTTAGCTTTTAAAGCCCTTTTATAACCTAGTCCCAATCCATCTCTAAATAAACTTATTGTCCCTTTACTTCAAATTCAGCAAACTGGCCTTCTGTCTGGTCTTCACACATGACATTCCAACTCCCCCCTCCAATGCCATCACACTGGCAGTCCCCTATTATACTCTCTGCATCTCCGATTCATAGAAATCTCCACCTTCAAAAGCAGCTCAAGCATTACCTTCTACATTTAAGTCTTTGCTGATTGCTTCAACTGTTAGTAGCCTCTCTCTCAAACTACTTTGAATTTAACTATTTGTACTTTTTTGTCATTGTTATCTGCCCCATTGGAATGTAAGCTCCTTGTGAAAAGGAATTTTTACTGTATTTGTATCCCCAAGTGACTAAAAGTCGTTCATATGTAGTAGACTTTTAATAAATAATTATAAAAATAGCACACTTTTACCAATTTATAGTCCTGTACTTTTACCAATTCCTGTTACTTCTTAGTGAAAATACTCCATTACATTCATCCTCAATCAATGGGCCCTGAACACTTTCAGTTCTTTCCTACCAGAAAAACTGCTATGCAGTATCCTCTTGAAGGCACCACTGAAGCAAGTATCTGGTTCAGTCTTTAAAAAGCAAGCCAAAACCCCTGCCCCCATTGGAATTCTTTGAAATATAGGTGATATATAATTCTTCCTAAAGATAGAGGAATGAAGATGACTTATGAAGTAATTTCCCCAAGTGTAGTGTGATAGAAAGAATGATGGACTTGTAGTTGGGAAGCTTGAATTAAAAGCCCAATTCCAACACTTACTGGATGAATGAGCATGGGCCCTTAAGGCATTTAGCCAGTTTCTGAGTTTGAAACATGAGGAAAATAGTACTGGCAAGACTGTAAAGGAAAACATTATGTAAACCTCAAATAAAGATGATAATATACAAGGTATCACAAAAGTCAATGCAGTTTTAAACTTCTTTAATAACTATTAAAACTTGGGGCAGCTAGGTGGTGCAGTAGATAGAGCACCAGCCCTGAAGTCAGGAGGACCCGAGTTCAAATCTGGCCTCAGACCAAACACTTGACACTTACTAGCTGTGTGACTGGGCAAGTTACTTAATCCCAATTGCCTAAAAAATTAAATAAATAAAATAACTATCAAAACTGCACTAAGACTTTTGGGGTACCCTGTATTTTTTTTTAGAATAATAACAGGATCCCAAATTTTAATCCTATGTAATTCAATTTTAAGGGTGGTTGGGGTAGAGAAAAGCAGACTATAGACTTTAAAGTCAAAGATTCAACTAAAAAGTTTGCTCATAACTGTACTTTAGTAAACATTTGTAAATTATGTTATTTATGCTAATCCAATTACAGTAATGATTTGCTTCCTTTTTTAAAACTATTAGAGAGAGAGAGGAATTGAGAGTCTATAAACTCTTTTGTCCAGTTTTGGGGAGAGATTATATTGTGAATGAGTATATGTTTACATTCGGTTTTACTGAACACTTTAAACACAAGCTGACAAAGTAAAACAAAAAAACTAAAGATCCAAGGGCAAGACACCAATATATAAAGCAGCTATAAGTTTTTTTTTTATACACATGAAAAAGAAATGATGATACTGCTATCCTATGAGGCATTATTTTATGCAAATTGTGAGTATGCATTTATGAATTTACAATCACTAATGATTAAAATAACTCTGAGGTTTCATCTCACCTTTACCAACAACTTGGTAAAGATGATAAAGTATCTTCATATTCAATGTGGGAAGAACTATAGGAAAACAATCATACCAACTACACTGATGGCTGATCCAACTGTTTCAAACATCAAGGAAAAAAATTTCAAATTATTCAAAGTGACTAAATTAAATTGACCCAGTGATAACAATAGTAAATCCCACAGAGCAAGCTGAAGACAGAGGAAAGTTCCCAGGTAGACCAAAATAAATTCATAGCATAATTTTTTATGGTAGCAAAAACAGTGGCAACAACGTAGATGCCCATCAATTTTGGAATGACTTAACAAATTATGAGAAATGACTATAATGGAATGTTATTAGGCCATAAAATAATAAAAATGAAATGTTGAGAAGAGTCATATAATCTTATGCAGAGTGAAAAACCAAAAGGATAATATTCAAGGTGACCATACTAATGAAAAAAATACTAAAAGAGATCAGAATGCAAATTAACATAATGGTCATTTTGACTGCCGAAGACTGGTGAAACATTTTATTTTCCCCCTCAACTTTTATTGCTATGTATTTTTTACATCACCTTCATTTCTGAACATAGCTTTTCCCCATTCCCTACCCAGAGAACCATCCCTTCCAACAAATAAGAGAGAAATAAAAAATAAGCTCAGCAAAATTATGACACCAACTGAGTTTTACAGTATATGCAACGTTTTGCATTCACAGCTTCTCACCTCTACAATGAAAGAAGGTGCATTTTCTCATATTTTTCCAGGCTGAAGTTTAGATATTATAATTAATGTGTTATTTCTCTCTCTCGCATCACCCCACCCTCATTTGCAATGTTGCCAAGCCATTTGTTTTATTCTTCTAGCTCTGCTTATATTGGAATCAATTCATTGAAGTCTGCCTATGCTGCTCTCAATCCTTCAGGTTCAGCTTTTTCATGGCTCAGTAATATTTATACTTTGTTCTTCTTGGTAGACAGATGAGACTATCAATTTAGAATGTTGCATATACCTTCAGACGTGGTCAACGTGTTGGCTTGTTTTACTTCTTTTGTTATAAGGGAGGTTTCTATCTATGGGGGCGAGAGGGATACTTGGAAGTGACAACGAGGTAAAAAGAGCAATGAAGGTTTTATCAACCTTCTACAACAAAAAACTGTGCCTATGCATCACTTATGTTAGGATTATGTGAAAATATTTCAGCACACTGGTACAAATTAAATATGTGATTCACTTTGGCATGATCTTTATCCTAAAAGAAAGGATAATAATACGAGTAAATATGGATATCACTGACCTCCATAAGGCATTTTTAGCAACAGCAATAATGATCTAGTTGTGTCAAGAAATACATGTTCATTTTTGATGATGCTTTTTTCTCAGCTGCTTTCTTAAAATCCTATTCAACATTAACACATGAGAAGAGAACTGAGTTATGATGATCTCAAGTCTGAGCATTAATCTCTCATTATTCAAAAAGCATCATCTCCACAATGAAGGTAAATTCCACCCTATCTGCAGCAACTGGACCTATTCCTTCTCCTTTTACTGAGTGTTAAAGGTCTGTAGAGTGCCTAGGCTAATCCTTTCATTTTATATATGAAGGAACTGAGGCCCATTCCTCATAGGTATTTCTATAAATCTGCAGAAATATTAATTGGTGTGCCTTATGATCTATTGATATTCCTGATAAGTAAAATTTGTAAAAATAGTAAGCATACATCACATTTATTGCTATTAAAGTTCTCTAACAACAATTAACTTTTATAAACAAAGGGTCACTGAGTTAGAAAGATTAATATTAACTAAGCTACAAAAGCAGAAGAGGAATAATGCCAATCACCTTAATAGCACTGCCTTCATAACATCTGGAAAGTTCTACCATTTTATGGTAGATTAGCAAAGTTTCTGAAGCCAGGACTGCCACCCAGTGGCAATACTAAAGTAATAAATAACTTTAAGACAAAATCATGTTTAAGATAATTATGTTTTTCAAAACTGAATTAAATTTACAGATTTCAATTTTTAAAAGTTCTTTTGGTTCATTAAGAGTCTGTAAATAACATGTAGAGACACAAAAAGATAAACAGTTCACATATTTAAGGAACACTGAAGAATTCTTGTTTAAAAAACCAAAAGGATCATTCTAACTTTAAAATTCCACAGAATATTGGTCATTATTCATATTTTTACTGATTTTCCACCATTTACTAAGTGAAGTAGCTTTAATAAACATCCGAAATTAATTTTTAATAAGCATTTTCAGTTGACTGTCTAGCTTAAATCTTCAGGTTTCAATTTGTGAGTGAAACAAAATACTCAACAAGGTGCAACTATGAAGTAATGATACCAACTTTCCCATGAGGCACACAGAATTAGTCTAATTACTATAGTCATGTCTCATATTAGAAACCAACATACTTGGTTAGAAAAAAAAAACCAAATCTACAATTAAGAGCATCTACAAAAATAGACTTTGAAATAAAACACATAACTCGATGAATAAGTCCTGTTTCTCCCACAGAAAAGCAAGACCAGTTCACAAATTCTTCAAAGTAAGGCATATTTGGGAACAAAACACTAAATTTAGTGTTCAGGTCAACAAGTCCTGACTGTCTCCTATCAAAACTAGAAAGCAGAGAGTAGGACATATTTTTTTTTAAAAAAGCATTTCTAATAACTGTTGATGTTGCCTAGGAAAAAGTCAAGTATCTTACAGTTTAGTCTTTTCCCCAAAACTTTGCCATTTCTTATTTTTTGTTGGCACAGACTACATCCTGAAAATCCTTTGGAAAAAATGACACTATAGAGTTCATTTCTCATTTTAAAAGCTAAATGTATCTCACAGAGATTGCTTTGTTTTCACACAAGTAACAGATGGAGAATAATCAGAAAAGGCCAATTCAGTTCTTTAGGGTATTTCCCCTGCCCCCTCAATAGCTTAAAAACTCCACAGAATTTCTTCCAACCTTCATGTTTTACATGAAACACAGGCAGTGAATGAATTTCGTAAAATTATGACAGACAGGCTTATTTGGTATTTACAATGGCTTAGAAGAAAAATGGCACCTGGAAACCATCTCTAATCTTTTCCAGTGATTATTGTTCTTCAGTCCTACATAAAAAAAGATTAATATTTCCAGGGAAATTTATTTTAGAATATTTGATTATAGGGACACAATATTTTTATACTTCAAGAGACAGTGTAACAAAAGCAATTGCCTAATATGGTAACCCTACTAGAAAAATAAAGGATAAGTAATTTAGAATGTCTATAATTTAAAGATGTCTGTCTTTCACTAAACTGATGATGTAAAAATATAGAACTTATTACTGGAAACAAGAAAAAGGAAAAGCAACAATAAAGCTGAAAATCAAAAGATGGAAGCAATTGCTTTACAAAGTTTTTTTTTTTTACATAAAATGGCATATATGTGCATTGCTATGTTATAATAAAAATACATATGTATTATAGTCAATTTCATATAGAGTTAAAAACATCAACTTCCGGTCTGGCACGATTGGACCAACATCTTCTTAGTCTTCAATTATATTTCTAATTTGAAATTTGCGGCAGTTATTCTGGTCATCTTTCTATCATGATAAATGCTTGATGAGATATAATTTTTCTCCTTGTTCACTTGTAAAAATTGGTGCTTTTTTATAATGTTCTACAAGTTCTTCCATGGTGCTGAATTTACGCTGTCCAATGCAGTAAACAGTGTCTTTCAACTGGACTTTAAAATGCTTGTTTTTCCCTTGTGCTTTCAAAGATACTGAGAAATCATTTGGCTAAAAGAAAACAAATATACATTTAGAACTTAAGTCATTTTTACCAAAAATTAAAGATATGGCTATCACAGTTTTATTATAGATTATACCTATAATAAATAAATTCTCAGCTATAACATGTGATACATAACATACTTCTACCTCCAAGCAAAGATTATTTGATAAACATATGGAACAACCTTGCTTTATCCACCTCCTTACAATTAGTCTCTGGTAACAGAAAACTCTGAGGAAAAAATTCTGAATAATCAATTCTTGTCCTAAAGGAAAAAGGAATGAAGCTTTTCAAGGAAACTTGCAACAATCATCCAAAAGGCTCCAGAGCAGAGACCTAATTCAAGTCTTCAAGGTTACACAATAAGAAGTGGTAGTATATTAGGAAATTTTTGGTTAAATGTTTTGGCCTTGCAAAAATATCTACTAAGAAAAAAAGAAAATGCAGTCCTTTGCTCTCAAAACTACCACCTTTACGTCCCACAGCAATCCAAAAAGCCTTTCAACAGGCAGTTTTCTGAGTTAGAAATACACAACTTCAACCTTCCCAAACATATGAAAAGACAGTAAGTTCTACACTGACTCACACTTCCCCACATGTACTCCCCCATCATTAATCCTGTCCTTTTCTCTCACCTCCCACTCCTGTGGTAAGCTATCCAGAGCTGATGGTATCACCACAAGGCAATTCTTAGCACAAGAACTGTCTAATCTAATATCTCTCTATCAAAATCTCATTGTGCAGTACAGATATTTGGCTAACCACTTATTTTTCCAAACCACTAATTACAATATTTTTTTGGCATAAATATACACAGAGCATCCATCCTCCTCTCATACCTCAAGAAAATCATTCCCCTTAATTCCTTTTGTGATTTTTTTTTTGAAGCAGTTGGGATTAAGTGATTTACCCAGAGTCATATAGCTAGTAAGTGTCTGAGGGTAGATTTGAACTCAGATCCTAATGACTCTCAGGCTGGTGCTCTAACCACTGTGCCACCTAGCTGCTCCGCCCCCTTAATTCCTTTTGAAGTAAAAAAAAAAACCCTTAATTATGGTTGACAAACATAAGCATATTTATAACATTTATATAATGAAAAGAAAAAGAAAAAGAAAATAGTAGCTAACATCTATATAACACTTTAAGGTTTGTTTAATATGTTAACTCAATTGGTCCTGAACAACTCTGGGAGGTAAGTATTACCTAATTGTATAGATGAGGAAACTGAAGCTAGAAGATACACTGACTTGCCTAGTCACACAGCTAAGCAGATAAGGCAGAATATGAACTCAGATCTTCTTGACTCTGTCTAGTAATCTATTCAATGAGTCACCCAGTTGCCCCATTAAGAAAAGGAAAGCAACTAAGTTCTGAAATCAAATTCACGTGATCGACCCCTTAAGATCCCTAAAAAAAGTCCAAAAACCCTTCTGAGAACCTCACCAAGTCTCCATCTACTACCATATCTTCCTCAAATTAACCTTGTGCTTTTACATTTTGCCCCTTTGAGAGGCAGTGTGGTATAACAGGTAGCAAGTCAAGAGGACCTGGGTTCTAATCACACCTTACATTTAGTAATTTTGTGGCCCTTAGCAAGAAACAATCTCAGCCTCAGTTTTCTCATTTGTAAAAAAGACATAATAATAACTGTAGTACTTACTTCACAAGGTTGTTGTGAAGAACAAATGAAAAAGCATATGCAAAACACTTGTCAACTAAGGTATTATAATAATGTCAGGGTTCATTTGTTTTTTTAACCATTTTTATTTAGTTCATTTTTTCAGCATTATTTCATTACTAGTACTGAAATAGAATTGTTTTCCTTAAAAATGAAAAGGATTAATTCTATGTACATTACAGGCTTAATAAGCCTACACTACACAGGCTGGCCTGGGAATTATCATTTATAATACAGATTTTATCACTGATATTGGTTTTGTTCTATTTTGGTTTTTTGAGGGGTATGAAAATGTCTGCCAAATTCCAAACAACATGCAAAGAAACTTGGAATACAGTCTATTTATAAATTGGGATTTCTCTATATTCTTACAGGGAAATATTTGAATATTTAATTCAAAGGCAAATCCCCCAACTTAAAATATATTTTAGTTTCCGTTTTTCTCAACCAGTATCAATTCTGATTTGGTCAGTTTCTAATTTTCCCAGTTCCTCAGTTTGATGCACAAGATAGTATTTCAGAATGCAAGACCAAATAGCCTGATAAAGAAATTAGGTCAAATTAGAGGATTTATTTACATAGTTTCTAGTTCTAAGGAAAATTCAGAACCTGATTGTGATTTATCAATGAAAAATGACTTACTGAAGATTCACTATCTCGAATGAGGAAGTCCCCTTCATTCCCTCTTTCATTCAATGCCATTTCTGCCTGATGTCTAGTGACTTTCCCATAATACCACGGGTTGCCAGCAAATCTGCCGGTGACTGCTGGACCAATGTAATCACACTGTGGAGGTGATGGTTCCAATCCTGAGGTTAGATGACTATTATGCATGACAGTAACATAGTTCTTTGGCACCAGGCCCACCTGCCCATTAATCTTCCGACATTTCCACCACTCAGGGTCATTTTCAGGTTTTTCAATAACATCCATCACTTCTCCTTTCTCAAAATTTAGCTCTTCATCATTGGAGGAGCTGAAGGGGTAGAGAGCTTGGACCACATGTAACACCTGTCCACTATTTAAATTGTTGACAACTGCTGCTAATTTCTCTGATAAGGAGCCCATATGGTCACCCAAAGGACTGTCGCTTTCTTCAGTCACATAGTTTGAAGGAAACCATCCAACCTGTCCATTATAGCTCCCCCGCCACCAACCATCGCTGCATTTCTCCATGACAACCACCTTTGTCCCTTTTGTCAAAGATAGTTCATCCTCCCTCTCTGCCATGTAATTAAATTTCACATAAGCAGGCATGTTGAGGTCATAGAGACGTTCTCCAGGGTCAACAAAACTGTCATCAGCAGGAGATGCAGAATCTGGCACACTGGGTTTCCTTTTCACTTTTCCAATACCTGTTTACATAAAAAATAGGGATGGAAAAAGAAAAAGAAAGCAATAATTACCAAAAAGTTATCATCTGATCATTATTCATAAAGTCTTCAGTTTTCAATGTGGTGCATCTTTCTGGGAATGAGCATAAATTTTTTTTTGTCTCACTAGTGATATGGACTTAAATCCTACCATCCACATGACATAATTTATCTCGCCTACAATACCCACTCTTTTACTGTTTACTGCTCAAAGAATAGATGGCAGCTACACAGATAGAAATATGGATAGAGATATAGTGGATAGAGAGGTAGGCTAACAGTCAGGAAGATCTGAATTCAAATCTGGTCTCAGACACTACACCTATGTAACCCTGAGCAATCATTTGATTTCTGTTTGCCTCAGGTTTTTTTCCCCCTTGTAAAATGGGAATAATAATAGCATCTACCTCCCAGGGTTACTGTAAGGATCAAATAATAATTGTAAAGTACTTAACACATTGCTGGGCATATAGTAAGCACTATATAAATATCAGCAATTATTATAATTATTTCAAATAACTATATGCAGATAATATGGTATCCTGAACTTTAATATATTTTCTTTTTAAAAAGCTTTTCCTACTTTTGAAATCTGTATATACAGATGTAAAAAAAAAAATAAGTTAAAACCTAAAGCTATCAACATATAAGTGAAATAGTTGTGGCTCTTACTTTAAAAAATCCCCCCAAAGTAGGTGTCCATTAATTGGGAGAACAACTTATGCCATGCAAACAATGAAATATTATTGTACTGTGAGAAATTACTAATATGAAGAATTTAAAAAAACTTGGAAAGATCTGTATGCAGAGCAAAAGAAGCAGAACACTTTATTTAACTATAATAATGTAGAAGAAAACAACACTAAAACACACTTCAGAACTCTGGTCAATGCAATGACCAGTGCAGTGACTGATGATGATGAAGTATACCTCTTGTCTCCTGGCAAAGAGGTGGTGGACTATAGGTTTAAAATGAGTCAGGCATTTTTAGGTGCACCCAACATAGTAAACTGTTTTGCTAATTAATTGTATTTACTTGTTATAAGACAGGAGGGAGAAAAAGAAAGCTTAAGTATCTACATAATGCCTATTACATTTCATGTACTATGCTAAGTATTTTACAATTATTATCTTATTTGCAAAGTAGAGTGTGTTATTATCTTCATTTTATAGCTGAGGAAACTGGGGCAAACAAGGTTAAATGACATGCCCAAAGTCATACAGCTTACAGTAAGTGTTTGTGGCCATATGTGAACTCAGATATTCCTAACTCTAGGCCCAGTGCCTTATCCATTGTACCCCTTATCCATCTGTCTCAGAGAAAAATTCTAATTGTCAGAGTGAAGGGATAGTGCTTGTTTTCTTTTTTTTTTTTTTAAGGCACCAACATTTAAAAAGAAAACAAATAGACCTTAATTTACTAGAAATTATCAAAAATCAGTCAAATCTAGAAGTAAAATGTGCTGATTACAAAAGTAGCCTTTAATCATTATCATTCTCTTTCTGTATTTCAGAAATCCTAAAGAAATCACCTCTAAACCCAATAGACATACTAAATTAGAAGGAAGGACTACACTAGCAAACTCAGTTGATATCTCAGAGAATAAAATGACAGTAGTTGATTATTTTGTTCTTAGAAGTGGAAATACAGATAGGTAATTTTATGGTATTAATCACTTCAACTTTCATGCTTCAGAGTCAGAACACAATTAGGATGCCTTGTTTACAGACAGAGGTGTGGACTACTGGCCAGTGACTGTGGTGTCCTACTGCTGGATTAGGTCTTAAAGTTAACAATCTCAGTGATCTGCTATCAAATGAGAGAATGAGTATGAAAATACTTCTAGAAGGTAAGTGATATACAACTGTAAGGTATTTCTATTCATTACTTTCTGGCTCAAGTCAGGGACTAGCAGAGGAACTGGGAGGAGGGATAAGGAAGAGGTACTAAGCAAACAATAAAGATTCATTCAATTTTAAAATGTTGGAGTAGTTCAAGCATGTTACCATTCCACAAATAAACAACCAGATACTCTCATTACATACCTGGCTTCCATAGAAGTCAAAACCCCTAATCCATATATATCTATCTTTTTTTTCACCCTCTTCCCAACTACAGTTAAATATCATCTTTCTTCACTCCAATCAGTCCTTGATGTGTCAGACTGCTCTTAATCTCCTAATCAACCATCTATTTCTCCAAACTTCACATCTTATTTTTGCCATTTGTTTTGTCATCAAATTCCACTTATAATTCTTGCCTGTGGAAGACCTACTAAGAAAGACTCCATAAGTCAATTATGGCCATTTACTTACTAGATTAAGGAGAAAACAGAATGTAAGTGAAAAGTGTGGTGTTTGAAAATGCCTAGGTTAAGTCCATAATAAAAAAAAAAGAAATTTTTTAAAAAGAAAAAGATTGCAAAAATATCTGGATAAAGTGAAATGAAGGAAATGTATCCACCTAAATTAGGTTAATCTTTTTCATGTGGTCAAAAAAAGGTCACAGAGATAACCATAAAGTTAATATCCACCCTCCCACTGGCTTTGGAACCAGAAACGACTGGTTAAGAAATGTCTACTCTTTTCCCTTGAGGCTTTTATATGATGGATCCTCTAGCCACATACCATATCTTCCTCCTTTGATCCTCTCTTCATTCTGAACTCTTACCAGACTGCTACCTTATCATGACATCTTAGATTTAAAGGGGTTCTAGAACAGGTAAACTGGGGTCTGTGAACTGATTTTTATAATTTTCTTTCAATATCATTATCTTCCTTTGCAATCCTATGTATTTTATGCCTTTAAAAACATTATCATGAGAAGGGGTCCGTAGGTTTCACCAGAAGGCCCAAGGGGTCCATGATACAAAAAAGTTTAAGAATTTCTGCTCTCAAATGTACCTAGCCCAACTCCTCATTCCATGCAGAACATCTCTTCCAAAATAAGCCCAAGTGCCACCTCCTACAGGAATCTGCCTCTCTCCCCAGCCCCCAGATACTAAATGACTTTATATTTCCTTTGTATATATTTTGAATTTCATTTAGTTTTCTGTGTATGTTGTTTTCCCACCAAAAGCTCCTTGGGGAAAAGGACTGTTTTGTTTTGGTTTTTTTGTCTTAATAGCACTTAGCATAGTACAGAACATAGCCTGGCACATCGGAAGCACTTAATAAATGCTTAATGAATAAATGAATCTCTCACAATTGGTCATTCACCGGACAACTCTAAGTGTTAAATGCTGAAATCTGCCTCAATTCTCATCCTATGTTCTAGGACTACACAGAGTAAACATACCTATTTCTTCTTCCACATGACAGAATTTCAAATACCTGAGTAACTGAGTTTTCTCATCTCCTAATACATTCCTCAAATAATAAAAGTTTTTTTTATAGCACTTTAAAGCTTGCAAAGCATCTTCTAAACATTGTCTCATTTGAGCTTCACAAGAGTTCTGTGAAATATATACCACAGGTATTGTTACCCCCATTTTAGAGAGGAAAAAATTATTTGCCCAGTCAGAAAGTTAGTGAGAGTTGAAGGCAAGACACCTTCCCTTCCTCCTTCCTTATCTAGCTTCTGAGAATAAATAGAAAGCGTCTTGGTAACTTTTTTCTCTGCTTCCTCAAACACCTCTGGCATAGGAGAAACTAATTATCACCACCCAGTTTTACAGAAAAATAAAACAAACACTTATGCAGATCAAATCAGACCTAAGTGATCACAAAAACTCTATTTTTAAAAAGCCCACAGAAGACACACAGATCATGTTCATATATTACGTCAGTAAATTTAAATATTATTTTATCACATAATGTCAAAAACAATCCTACAAGTACATGATTTTCTTTCAGTATTTTAGCTAGTAAGGAGTTTTAGCAACTCTTCCAAAATGCTCAAACACATGAAAAATATCAACCTCTAATGGTTATAGATTGTAATTGGGTTAATTTTAAATGTTTATAACCAATATCTAGCTTCTACTAATCTGTATCTTTTTTTTTCCTTCAAAGTTTAAGGGAAAAAATTACTGCTAAAATACTTCAAAATTCAAAGATAATTAACTCAAAATTCAAGCTCCTTTGTATAAGCTTGTTAACATGAACTTTAGTCATTTCTATGGTTTACCAAAGTTTGTTTTCTACTTTAAATGTTGATTTTAAGAGAAAAAATAAGCATACTGTATCTAAATTGGAAATTTAGTTGAACAATCTATATTTTCATCTCCATGTCACTAGCCAACTCTAAAGTACTTTAAGTAATCTAGCTTCATCTAAGGCAGAATTAATTTTATTTAAAATTCCCCACAGTCACATATTCCATAAGAAAAAATGAAAAACATCAACTTTATGACAAAACATAAATAGGCCAGATCTTTCTATGGAACATTTACATCTTTAAAGGGAGAAAATCTAGCTCAAAGAAACACAAATACTGAAGCAGATCTACGGAGCTAATAAACACTTAAACTTACTGAAAAAGTCTTTAATGATGTTCAACCAATCCATTTTGCTCAAAATCCTGTGCTCTCCTTCTTTCAGTGGGTCATACAGCTCGGGATAACTCTCAGTGAGCTTCCTGGTCTGTTCTTCAACACTGAAACTCCCCACACCCAATCCATGTGACTTGGCCCATACCCAAACAATAAAAGTTTTTCTGAGGCTTCTCCCATTCCGAAACTTTTGATCTTCACAAGAACTTGCTTAACAAGTACGTCATGTCTGTCACAAAAAAACACTCTAACTTTCAAATATAAAAAAAAAACTGAAAAGGTGGCCTAAGCATTTGATAATACTTACTGAAGCGATTTTTTTCCTTGCTAGTACTAAGTTCTATCTCCATCTTTTTTGGTATTTTCCCTTTCTTTTTCTGTTTAACTCTTAGTAACCGGTATAATCAGGAGCAGTCTGGTCCATTAATTACTTTGGGGAATTTCCAAGTAACAAATGGCTGCATGCAAAAGTTTAAAATACTGGGAAATGGTTGGCTGGATGAAATCGCCAGATTATTATCATCATTCCAGCTATATGAACAAATGACTTAAATAGATTTCATAGAGTACTTTAAGTTCCCCTAAAAAAGCAACACCACATAAGTGAAAAGAAATAAATCATATACTAGTTAACTAAGTCTTAAACAGTTGACTAAAACGTTATCAATACTGTCAAGAAAATAGTAAGCAAGATTTTTCTTGTATAAACAAATCATTTTAAAGATACCTAATTTGGTTTCCAAAAAACTATATTAATAAACACAAAAATTAGAACTCCTCCCTCCTTATCACACCAATTTTTAAAATGTCCTTTGGCAAATGTCAAATGGACTTTTATCATATCTTCTTAGTAACTTCTAGTAATTTTCAGAAAAACTGGACCAGTTGAGTATGTCCCTGACTCTTCCTGTATATTCACGAATAACACTGAGATCCTTGGCTGATGAAGAAAGTTAACTTGCTCTTTCCAAGTCCTTAAATCAGCATGTACATACAGTTTTGCTGAGAATACAGGATTTTAAAAGATCAGAAATCATTGGTTCTGATTCTGGTTTTACCAGTAACTATGGACAAATCATCTAAACCTCTTAACTAAGAACGATGTTCATATATTGTTCAAATTTTGAAGATCCAAGCAAAAGTTACTTCAGATGTATCACCTGATGATCAGTGATTATCTGGCTAATATTCTATGCTTAAAATCCCTCTGGAATGTTACTGATTTCACACTTGGAAATTATTTGTTTTATGTTTGTATCGCACTCTAAATCTGTGATGAATTTTGTTACTGTTTTGAAAATGTTACAACCGTCTGTTAAAGAGTATTAGTTTTTACTTTTATTATTCATAATAATTAAATTAAAAGGAGAAAGTAGGATGATAACTACCTCCTTGGTAGGATGCATGAGAAACAATAAAAACTAATTTAAAACAATTAGTCAGTGGTAAAACACAAAAGTATTTTATTTAAGCCAATTATTTTAGCCACCAAATTACCTTTCCAAGTAGAAATTTTTCAACATTCTTTTCTGCATATGTAGAAAGCACAATATTAGGTAATAGCATGTTTTCCTGAATACCAACAATCAAATCCAGTCCCTCCCCAACTCCTTTCCTGTTAGCCAAGAGGGAAAGGACAAAGAACAGAGGTCAATCCTCACCCCTCCACACTTCCTTCCTCTCAGCTTAGCCAAGGGAAGAGTAAAGCAAGGACCTCTGTTTTCTTGTACCAACAAAGAGACCCAGAGGAAAAAGGAATCAGAGAAAGAAAGAAACAGGAGAAAAAAAGAGGGAGGTATTTTAAAAGGCCGATTATTTGTGGTTGGCTACAAATGATTCCATAATTAAAATTACAGCAAAAATGATTTAATTATTTTTTAAAGTTGAGATTCCTAACTAGAAAACCAGTAGCTTAAATACTAGGCCAGTAGGTATTTAAGTTCATCTCAAATATAATAACTTATTCTACATTTAAACTTTAAATGAGATATCATCTGAGTTTGGCTCAATTAGGGCACAAGACCTACCTGCAGTCCTCTGACTTGGCTACGTTCAACATCTACAGACCTAAGACTGCCCTTACTAAGCTAGTATAAAGATTGAGGCAGACAGTAAACACCACAGGATAACAGGTCTAAAAGCCATAAAGTCAGAGGGCATCCAGTCCAGCCCCTTTATTTTAGAGACAAAGAAACTGAGACCCAGCGAGGTGAAATAACTTGGCCAGGATGGCATCAAGTAGTGGGGATCAGAAATAGGATGTGAATCTAGTTTTTCTGACTCACAGGGTACTCTTTCCACTGTATCATACAGCTTCCCTCCACTCTAGAATCAGTCTACAAACTTGTTCATTAGGGTCATTCTTGCTGACTTTTACATTACAAATTCTAGAAACATTTTGTTCAAAACTACAGTAAATTGTATGGAATAGCATGGAGTGGCAGACGTCTTGGAACTTGATGTTATCCACCTGAAACTATATTATTTAACAAACTCTCCTATACTGCTGACTCGTGGACCTGGCCCTGCCTGATTAAGCTGGTACCATTAACGCACTCATGCTTCAGCATGATACCATTTGAGCTAAGTATTTTAATCAATTTCAGCAAACATTTATTAGCCACCTACTAACACTTACCTAGATGGCACAGTGGACACAGTGCCAGGCCTGGAGTCAGGAAGACCTGAGTTCACACTAGCTGTGTGTCCTTGACCCCAGACAAGTCATTTAATCCATTTGCCTCAGTTTCCTCATCTGTCAATGATGAATGACTGGAGAAGGAAATGGCAAACCACTCCAGTATCTTTGCCAAGAAAACTGCAAGGGGTCACAAAGAGTTTGACATAACTGAACACTTACCTAAAGTATCCTTTAGGTTTTTTACAATAGAAGCTTTCCTAGCACTGTTTTTCCTTTCAACATAGTTAGAAGGCACAAAACCAGTTCTGTTCATAGAATTTCGAACTCTCCACCAGGACTTGGAATCATCCAGTAGCCAAAGTCTTTCATTCTTCTTTATGTCAAGCTCTTGCTCCTGCTGGGCCACATAATCAAATTTGGCTACCACCACCACTTCTTCTGCCATCTTCTAGTAGCTTTGGCACTGTCAACATAAAAGGCATAGAAAATTTAAAAGTATTCCCTTTAAGACAAAATGCCAAGAAATCAGGACTGAAGATAGTATTTGGACGTATGATACTCCATATATGCTGGTATGAATTTGGATTTTTCAAGTCCCAAGTTTTTAGTCTGTATATCCTGTATATTATTTTAAAAGATCTTGAATTTCAAATTTGATCTGATATTGGAACATTTGAAGAAAGGCATACCTGTTAGCAAATCATTGTATCTTTCTATTTCAAAATTACTTTGTCCTGTTTACAGGGTCAAAAATAGAAGCCAGCAAAGGGGACAGATAGAGGTATCAGGGAGAACAATAAGGGTGTATGTTGTCTTGGTAGCCAAGGAGACAAAAGCATCCAGAAACAAAGGGAATTCAGAAATGTCAAATGCTGCAGAGAGACCAAAGTCATAGAACTATAGATTTAGAAATGGCAAGGAACTTAAAGGCTAATTACTCCAACTCCCTCAGTTTACAGGTAAACTGTGGCCTAAAGAGGCTAAGTGATTTGTCCAAGATCAACTGGTATTTGAACTCTTGTTCTCTGAATTTATCCAAAGCGTTCTTTCCACAGCATCATACTGCCTTCCATGAAGGATGAAAACTGGGGACACACATACACAGTGAATTTCCTTTTCTTTTATACTCTCAGCCCTTAATTAGAATTTTGTGTTTTGATTTTTTAATATTATTTGTCAAATTGTACATTACTGGTTATCTGTACTAGTATTTTATTCCTCTATCATTTTAAAAATCATATCAGTACAGGAACCATGCCTTTTATAAAACTGGTATTTCCTCAGGCCTGGCACAGTGCTCTGTATGCAGTTAGTATTTAATAAATGTTGTTTCGTGTCATATTGTTGGTTGTATTACATACACTTCTAATTAACTTAACTCTGCTGTATTATTTCTGAATTTGTACATACTCTTTTCTTTAATTTAATAAGCCATATTTTATGATCTTGAATATGTGGAGACAGGTTAGGAGTAGAAAGGAAAGGTGAAGTAGGCTCTAGAAAAAAATACTTGCAAACAGTGGCAGAAGAAGGGTGACAAGTAATTAGGGATGAGGTGAACCATATATCTGAACTAAAGGAATCAAGTCAGCTCAGTGGCAAGGAAAGTTCAGGAGGCTCATTGTTTTCAGTGGGCATGTAGGCAGCAGGGAATTTTAATAAAGGGTACAAGTTAAAATAGTCCTTAGGGTTGAAGGCGAGGACCCCTGGACTGATTTCAAAGAGGAACTTGTGCCTAAAGCCTAGGGCTAGAATCTAGCCACTACATCTTTGTACCTTTCATATCAACACCTCACAGAGCACACAGCACTTAAATTTCACTTTTTTTTCCTATTCCTTCTTCCCTTATCTTCCAAATAATGCTATGGTATATAGTTGGGGAAGATATTTCTACATAAGAAAAAAAAGATTAATCTTCATCAGCTTACTAAGCCCTCACGGCTATAAAGAATGCCATTGGAAAAGAAAAGTAGTTTTAGTCAAAATACCATCTTCTCATCTTTAGAATTTATGCTTTTAAGAAGGGCAAATATTAAGGCAGACTACAGTAGAAAAAAGCAGAGATTAATCAGAAAGATACCGCAATGTTAGTCAAAGAATTTTTGTTAAAGAATAGAAAAAATATTTATAAATTTTAAAATCTGTATTTCCTCAGATCTCTCTGAATCAATGATAAGAAAAAAACCCCACAATAACAAAATCATGTTGTTCACTACTTAACCCCTTACTAATAGGGTCAACTGTGATTGAGACTTTATTCTTTTTTTAATTTTCTTTTCTCTGAAACAGGGCTGAAAATGATATATTCAAAGTACTCTTCAAAAATCAAAGCTATCTATAGTTATGTAAAAAAAAAAAAATCCTCTAAATCAGTGATTTAGAGATTTAAAATCACTCTGTCCACACAAGCCATAGGTTCCCAAGGTGGGTGACACCACCCCCTGGGGGGGGGGGCCTGGAAAAATGGGGGGGGGGGGGGGCGAAATTTTTAAAAAAGTTAAAGTGTTAAATAAAGTAGCTTTCCAGGGAATGCTGAGTAATTTTTTTTTATTTTTATTTTTTATTTTTAGGCAATTGGGGTTAAACGACTTGCCCAGGTCACACAGCTAATAAGTGTCAAGTGTTTGGTCTGAGTTTGTATTTCAACTCAGGTCCTCCTGACTTCAGGGCTGGTGCTCTATCCACTGCGCCACCTAGCTGCCCCATAATTTTTTTTTTTAAAAGGCGGAGGTAGGCCAAATAAGTCTGGGAACTTCTGACATAGGGTATCATACCCTTACCTGCTGGTGTTCTGCCCAGAGGAATGTAAATTTTGATATAAAACCTGACAAGTTATCTTGGGTTTACAGGCTAGATTTCTTTCTTAAGGACCATGCCTTAAAGTCAATTCATTCTGGCTCTCATTGATTGGCCAACAATATGTCCCAGCCCAAGCTCCATTTACTGCTCATTGCTTGGGCCCAGACTGGCTCAGAGTAAATGTAAATAGCAATTGTCTCTGTTTTGGCCAGAAACCCTAAAGGTCTTCCCCTCTCACATTGATTTTTTTTTTGGATTAAGTAAAAGAGGCCATTCTTTGATACATTTCTTACCTAGCCTTAATCACTAAATGGGCGCTGCCTCAGTCAAACTGAGACATGTTAAAGACCATAGCTTAAAAAGGCCAACATCTCCTACTGCACTGGGAGCCATCTCTAGTCATCCTGATTTATATTTTGCCACTGAACCCAAATGGCTCCAGAGGAGAAATTGAGGCTGGTGACTTTGCACAGCCGTCCCTCACTTAAATCTAATTCACTTGCAAGTCATGGCATCACCTTCCTGATGCCATGGTTCTCGTTGAGAATGAAGGGCAAACAACAAGTACTCCCACAGCACCTAGTACATTATCCAAAGTTTTAACATACATGTTAACTCAAATAGTTCTCAAAACAACTGCAAACTATATGAAAGACTATTCACTAATAAGAGAAATGCAAATTTTAAAAATCTCCGAAGTTTCATTTCTTTTTTCTTTGTGCAAGGCAATTGGGGTTAAGTGACTTGCCCAGGGTCACACAGCTAGTGAGTATCATGTGTTTCAGGCCGGATTTGAACTCAGGTCCTCCTGACTCCAGGGCCGGTACTCTATCCACTGTGCCATCTAGCTGCCCCCTGAAGTTTCATTTCAAAAATGATAAAGGCAATAAATGCAACTGAGGATTGGAATGACCTAGGAAATGACTTCATGGAGAAAAAAACTGTACCTGGTTCTTAAAAGATGTATAAGATTTGACTAAGCAGGAAAACAAAACTTTTTTGCATAAAATCACATTTATAAAGAAATAATCAAGTGAGTACATATACATTAATACCCTGCAAGTAAGAAACATAATTTCACAGAGAAAACATATCCAAAGACAAATTAGAATGAAATTAATTAAATCAAGAAAGGTTTCCTAGAAAAGGTGAATTTTCTGACTTGGGATTTTATAAAAGGATACAGAGAGATTGGCTGAAAGAGAAGTATTCCAAGTAGGAGAAATGTTATATATAATATTACATGCATTCTAATTCCTCAGAACGGAATGAGAAAGATATATAGAGAGGTCAACCAATAGATTAGCAAATATCTATAATCCTAGCCTCTCAACCAGGCTATACAGTCTTGTGTCAACAATAACCTACATGGGATTTCTACTTAGGTACGTTGCTGTCACCTCAAATTAAAGATGCTCCAAACCAGCTCCCCTTTCCAACCTCCCTGTCTTTCTTAGCAACATAACTGCTCTCCACACCATCTTCCATATAAAATCAGCCATTAATCAATCACTCGATAAATAAGCATTTAATAAGTGTTTTACTACAGGATAGGTAATAAGCTAAGGGTTGAGGATATAAGGAAAAAGCAAAAAGTCCGTGGCCCCAAGGATTGAGATTCTCAAGGGAAAGAGACAACATATATAAAACAGAACATAAGGTAAGTAGGGTAAACTGAAGGTAACCTGCCAAGCACCTGACTAAGAAAGACAAAAGAATTCCTGCTCTCAAGAAGCCTACAGTCTAATAAAACAATTATGTACAAACAAGATGTATACAGGACAAACTGGAGATAATCAAAAGAAGGAAGGCACTAGCATTGAACAATGGAAAGGCAGCTTGTACAAGGTGGGATGTTAGCTGGGACTTGAGGGAAGCCAGAAGGTGGAGGTAAGGAAGGAGAGAATTCCAAAGATGGGAGACAGGAATGTAAGATGACTAGAAATGTAGAAAGGGACTGGTTTTGAAGAGTTTTAAATTTCAAAGGACTTTATATTTGATCCTGGAAGTAATAGAGGGTCATAGTTATTATGTATGGAATGCATTTCCTATGGAACTGCATATATGTGTGGAATAGCCTGGTAAATCATGCTAACAGCACTGTGGGGGTCAGATTGAAGTGAGAGACAAGGCAAGAAAACCTATGAGAAGGTTACTATGACAATACAGGTGGAGAAGTGATAAGGGTCTAAATTAGTTTCTGTGTGAGTGAAGAGAAGGGGAAGTTTATGAGAGCTGATGCAGAGAAAGAAATTATAAGATTTAGCAACTGACTAGATATGTATCATGAGTGAGGGAAGGGTGGAGGATGACCCAAAAGTTGTGAACTTGGATGGATGGATGGTAGTGTCTTTAGCGTAATAAGGAAGCTGAGAAGACGGAAGGGTGGAGGGGAAGGGTGTGGAAATAATGAGTTCTGTTTTGGATATGTTGAGTTTCAGATATCTAAGGGACATCCAGTTCAAAACTGTCTAAAAGGCAGGTGATAATGCAGGGGTGAAGCTCAAGACAGACTAAAGCTGGCTATACATATCTAGGAATCATCTAAATAGAGACAAATGACTCCATGAAACTGATGAGTCTCCAAGTAAATGTGTATAGAGAAGGCCCAGGGCAGAACCTTAAGGGACACACAGAGGTAGTAGAAATGACATGACGATCCAG